AGCATTCAAGCTGGGCCTCCAAGGAGGCATGGGGGTTTGCCAGTTGGTGTAAGGCCAGGAAGAGCACTTGAGTCAGAAGGAATGGCACTAGCACAGAGCATGCTATGTCCTGGTCCACTAGAATGCCTGTAAGGAGCTTTCATAGGGCAATGGGTAAGAGGTTGGTGGTTTGAATCCACCAGCTGCTCCATGGAAGAAAGATGAGGCAGCCTGCTTCCGTAACGATTTACAGCCTTGAAAACCCAATGGGGGTTGCTATGAGTCAGAATTGACTCGATGGCAGTGAGTTTGGTTTGTTTTTGGAATATGTCAGTTAAGGAGCTCCAGGTGGGGACCAGATGGAAGCCTCACTGATGAGGGTTAGAGAGGGATGAATGGTCTAACTGCGCATGAAGAAAGGGGAAACTGAGGGTAAATGGACCTTAAACACATTAAAAATGAAACGTCTCCCTCTGTGACCTTCATCAGGGTGAGCATTCAACGAGCTGCTCATGTCTTCTTAGTTTGCATCCCTGGACCCTTTCATCCAAGTCTGCAGCAGGCTTTCCCCTCTTCACGTCAAGAGGTGTACTTCCCTTGGTTGTTACCCGCACTTTGTGAACATCACTTGGATGCATCCACATCCAACCGATCCCCACCACTGGGCACTCGGATTGTCCCCAGTTTTTCATTACCATCAATAGTGCCTTTCCTGCATTCAGATCATGACTTTGGCACAGTCTAAGGGATGGAATTCGAATTAGAGAGTGTGACATAAGCCGGAGACTTGTGACATATGTGGTCAGATTGCATCCTAAAAGGACTGTGGGAAAAGATGTCAGTACTGGGAGTGGCTACCCCCGATTCTAGAAAGCACTCTTGGCATGTGCAGGAGAGGAGGCACTGAGTCCTCGAAGGGGCTCTAAGCTGAGGGAGGTACAGCTATTCCGGGGGCTCCCTGGGAGGGGCTGGCCTGGCCCCGAAGTTGTGTGTGTGTCTGCTCCGTGGAAGCCGGGGCAGGAACCCCGTGGCCCTGCAGGCTCTGCTGACTGGACCGAACCTCTGGCCTGCACAGGCCCAAAAGGAGCTGTCCTGCAGAGTGGTTTCCTCTTAGTCTCTAAGAAAAAAAGCCTGGCTTTGTGAACTAGAACCCAGCAACAGGACCAAGACCGAGTTGGACAACAAGGTGTGTGTGGGAGCAGCTCTGAAGACGGTGGAGGCTGGCACCCACACCCGGACTTTCTCCTTGCCTTGTCTCCCCTCTCCTTACTTCCCCCTTTCTTCCAGGACTTCTCAGACTTCTCAGCATCTTTGCGGATGACACAGATTTTCTTTCTTTTTTAAAGCAAGGCCCAGTATAGCCTCACCGGATTATAAAGAGCTCTGGTGACACAGTGGTTAACTGCTCAGTGGCAAACGGAAAAGTTCGAGGTTCAAACCCACCCAGCAGCTCCCCAAGACACCTGCCCTGCAAAGATCACGCCTGAGAGCCCCACGTGGCACTCCCACCATCACATGGGACTGTGAGCCGCAACAAACTCCACGGTCCTTAACAACATCCACAGGATTATAAAGTCAAGCCACAGGCACTTACTTCCTGGGTGGGCCAGCTGCCTCTGAGTGGGGCCACTGGTCTTTACCTGCTAGAGCTGGGATGGTGACTCGGTTCCACTCCCAGGGCTGGTCGTACTCATCAGCAGGCCTGTCGTCGTCCTGGGGGAGCTTGCTCTCCCGCAGTCGGGGGCTGACTGTGCTCTCCGAGTCAGAGTCGATGCTTTGGGCTTCTGGTTCGTAAGGGGTATCATAGAGTTGGATGCCTCTGTGCTGGGACCGGACGCTTTCCTGCCTCTGAAATTCTGCAGGCAGAAAAGAAGGAAGCAGAGATGGGACGGGTGTATAGCAGATACCTGCTTATCTGGGATCTCTGCCAGGCAGCACCCGCAGGAGTCCAGAACCTGCCCGTCACCGAGGCCAGGACAGGCCCCCTCCTGCTGGTCGCCATCCCCCTCAGGGAGGCATGGTCCACTCTCCCTGGGCCAGGCCCACTCACACGGCCCACAGACACTCACGCCTCACTGCAGGCTGCAAGGTGCCTCCCCTAGTCGGCACTCTCAGAAGTGAGCATACTATTCCAGTGGGTTCTGACACCAGCCCAGACACACGGGGATCTCGCCCCCTGCTTTGCAGGTGAGTGGGGGTCTCCCCACTAGGGAAGATCCCCACCCTTCCTGGATATTCACTCCCATGTGTAAACAGAGGAAACTACATAAACAAGCCCCAAGTTCCCACCCAGCTCACAGATTCAATGAAAAGAACTAAAAGCAAGGAGCTCCCCAGGGGACCCGTGGGGGCAGCTTCCTCCCTCTTCTATGCGTCCCCCCTGCCCCCTCCAGCTGCCCAGCTCCCATCAGACTGCGGACACCTTTCAGGGGAGCCGTCATCTTCTCAGAGGATGCCAAGGCCAGCTCTGTGAGAGCCAGGAGTAACTGGCCATCTAGACAAGGTCCCAAACAGGGAGGGGACATTGATCCCAGCTGCTGTTCACCCCAGTGGGAAGATGATGGCTAGAATCCAAAAACCAGGGGCTTCCAGTCACACCAGTAAATGTCACTGGCTTTGATCATGAAATCAAACCAGGGCCTGTGCTGGGGGCGTGGGGAGGGCAGGGGGCCAGCTGTTCCCAGAAAATACAGGTGCCTAAAACCTGCTGACATCCAGTCAATACGGACTCATAGTGGCCCTACAGGACAGAGCAGAACTGCCTGTGGGGTTTCTTAGGCTGTCATCTTTATGGAAACAGGTTGCCTCATCTTTCTCCTACACAGTAGCTGGTGGGTTCCAACCACAGACCTTCCTTCCGGTTGGCAGCTCAGTGCTTAACCACTGTGCCACCAGGATGCCTAGTATACATGTGCCTATACAGCTCCAACACAGGGCGGCAAAAGGCCTGTGTGTCCCATGACAGGCAGGGCAGGAGGCAGAGGAGGCACCTGAGCTGACAGTTCCCACAACAGGGAGGAGGAGGGGACGGTTGTTCCAGGAAGGGCGGGGCCAGGGTGAGCAAGGTGGATGGCAGGGCGGCTCCCTGCCCATGTTTGCTGGGACACCGGGCCCACAGAGGTAAGAGCAAAGACATACCTGACGGCACAAGGCTCAGACCCACAGAGGGCCAGGACAGCGAGGTGCCTGACCTTCCTCCTGAGCCATCTGCCCAATCAGAATCCCAACGGCACAAAAATAGGACAGAAGCTCACGAGAGTTCCCTGTCTTGAGCAAGAGCAGCTGACGGAAATGAATGGGGTCATCCATTCCCGACAAGAACAGGGCTTCGGGACTCAGGCCAGCCCAGGGGGTGACGGGCCACCTTGCACACGCGCCCTGGCAGAACTGATGCCCTGTGATCCTCGGTCCATGTGGAAAGACTCTGCTGCCATGTCTCCTGACTTCACTTTGTCGCATCCTGCCTTTGTTACTACTGCCGAGTGTCACCTGTGCTACCGTTCACCATTTTTGTCTATGTTGTCCCACTTTTATTAAAGTCTCCCACTATGAGTGTGAAGTCATCTATTTGGCTTTTCAACTCTTTTAACGTCTGATTTATGTATTTTGGAGCTCTTTCATT